CAGAGCAAAACAAAAAGCAAGAGAGCCTTTCACTACAAAAGGTAAAACTAAGATGCACCAAACATATTGCGAAAGAACTCACCCCGACTGGAGTTAATCAAAACCTAGTTGCCTTACTTCTTTCTGTTTGGTTCAGTACTTGGGCCTTCACTCAGGGCACTGCTGCCATCACTAGCAAGTCTTCTTCAGTATTTTCCAATGGACGACTTGCAGGACAGCTGTGGAGCACCCACCACCCAGCAGAAAGGGAAACAGCCATCCCCTCCACGCCCCGGCTGCTGCCATCTCCGCATCATGGGACCAGCCCACGTGTCAGCGACAGCTGCAGCTGTCACTCACGAGACTCCAGCATCAGCAGATCAAACGCATGACGACGCTGCTACCCTGGGCAACTGCCCGCTTTCCTGACAGGGCAGCCCTAGAAGGCATCGCTCTGCCAAGAGATACTCACTCACCTTGTAACACTTCAAGCTGACTGAGGCAGAGGCTGAGTCTAGGAGAGCTCAGCCTGCCTCTCAGTCTGTACCTTATCTGTTGGAAAGGGCCAAGGATGGAATTTACAGAAAACTGGCTTTTGTGGAGCTACATCTTTCTACAGGGATTGCAACTGGAAACATTAGAACCAAGCCCAAATAGTAAGTTCCCAGCCACCCAGTTTCGTGTCTCCCAAATACGAGACGCTTACACAGACCAAATCTATTAAAAGCCACTATTTTCTTCTCTATAACCATAATGGAATTTTAAAAATTGGACATCTTAATACTGTACCTGGGTCTAATCTCACCACCACCAGGTAAAGCAAGAAAGTAGCCAAGAGCATCTTTTTGTAAGGAAGTAAACAGAAGTGGCTTGACATGGACCTCAGTGCTCTACGTAGTAGTGTCAACATGGTCAAGAGCTTTTGGGACAGAGCACCTAGAATACAAGAACAGAAAGGCTGTCAGGGCAAAGTAAAGTAAAAAAAATAATCACATGGATACAGATAATAAGAAACTAAGATACTAAAGTAAGACTGTTCTTAGCTTGATTGCATGAAAGTTGGGTTGGGTTTTTTTTATAATAAGGAACAGAGAAACATTACAATTTTGTAATACAATTAATTACAGCTTTTTTTAGGCATCTACTTTTTTTAGGCATCTACTTTAGTATAATATGATCTTATATCACAACAGTGCCAGCTTCTCTCCTGGGAGATCATGTCAAGCGATTTACAGTTCTGGAGGAGCAGCAGTACTTTAAACGCCAGACACGCATTGCTCTACACGGGCTCAGCTGTGAATAGAGACGAAGCAGAGCATACACAGAGCCAACAAAACCCTTAAAGGATTGCTAGGTCATTTTAGTTTCCCTTTTGCACCTTTAAAAAAAACCACATTTATTCTGAAGTGCTTTTGAACCTGGAAAATAATTATCATCTCTAGACATCAGCAGAGACTAAATACGCTTAGTAATTTTCAGCAAATGGATCACTAAGTCTTCTGCTTCCTTCTTTGATACACAACAGGACTTCCTCATGGCTGGTTTGTCACGAAAATATTCTTAATAAATAGTTAATACTTCACACTCTTTGTTAGTAAGGGACCAACTCACTTGAAATAAAATGATAAAAAAAAAGATGAAGACAAACAACAGAGGGAAAGCCTACCCAGAAGAGTTTCTGTTGCCCCATCTTGCTGCTCGTCATCAGCCGAGTCCATCTCTTCCCGTTGAGTCCACCGACATCGGCTTTCACAAATGGTCTCAAGAAACGCTAGCTGCTGCTCACTGTCGAAAACATCACAGCCGCGTACAAGCTCTTCTGCCCCCTCAAACTGGCCAAGCGGAAGCAGCACGTGCAACAGATAGAGCTCCAGCAATGAACCGTACTCGGGGAGGCTCTTATTGGTTTGGTCTCTCAGCCAGCTGCTGCCAACCTCCAGCATCACCTGCGGCTCTCTCACTTGGCTGTATAACAGGATACTGAAACACAAGAACACCAGACAACACTAACTCTTTGTCAAAGCTGAGATCACTGACAGTTACTAGCACAAGCAGCTATCATGGACACACGTATCAGGGTCTACACCCGAACCACAGAGAGATTTCCGAGGCGGACAGTAGGTGCAAGCACTGATGTTACTTTCTCAACATCATTCCTTTCGTACTTTATCATAGTAAAGCGATCTGCTGGCCTGTGGGCATGCTCCAGGCATGTCCCAGGTTCCGCTTTCATCCTCACCTACACCATGCAAAGTCAAAACATCACCCAATATTCAAGTCCGGCCCGCTGTTAAACCTAAAGCAAGCCCTGCGTGTCTCTGGCAGTGACAGACAGAAACTCACCACAGCTCCAGAACTTTCGGAGGCAGATGCTCGGGGACGTGGTAATACTGTAGGACCCAAGACAGAACTTCTCTCCACCGGTTCATCTCAGCCAGCGCCTGAATCCCCACAACACAAAGGGAGCATCTCACTTCCGCAGAACTGGCAACGAAGAGACACCTCAGTAAGCGCTTCTCGCGACCACCCTTCCCCTCGCGTCCCTTCCAGGGAGCTGCAGCCTGGACTTTCCCTCTCCTTGCACCCACAACAAGGCAGAGCCAACCCCCTGAGAAGATGTGTGGAGTCCAATGCGCGGAGTCCGTATCTCTCGCGGGGCGTGGGAAGGCTCCGCGGCACGCCGCAGACCCCGCAGATCCCTTCGTCCCGGGCATGTCCACACCAGCATGCTGTTAGCAAACGGCAGCCAGAGCCAAGCCGGGTTTTAAACCGTCACTAACTCGCTTCTCAGCAAAAAGTGCCACCTTCCATCGATTTAGACAACAGAAAGCGATGAAAACCACGGCGAGGACCACTGGTGCTACTGCCATTCACAGAGATAATATTTATATTCAAACCTAAGAGACCCTAACCAGTTTATTAATTAATTGATTAATTATTAACCCCCTCGCCAGTTTATTAAACCCCAAAAGCCCCCTATGAAACCCAGCAAAACCCCAGGCATAGCCGAGGCGGCC